TACGTCCACTCTCATGGACTGGTTGTGTTGGAGTGACGTCCATCTCCAGAGGCTCAAACGGACTATGAACCTCTACTGAGGTTGTTCTGGCTTTTCTCCTCATTTGCTTTTTAGCTGATTTCGATGAATAGGCTTCGCCCTGAAATGTTTCTAATTCGTTTATAGGGTCAGGTTGTAGATCTGAGTGGTGGGATTGATCAGAAGGTGGTGACTGAATGTTTTCAGTTTGGGTGGCAGATGTTGATTTCGTTGGATAGCTTTGAGATGCCTCAATGGTGTCATCAATGGTAATTTGGTCATCCTTCAGCCAAGAGATAGAAGTCTGGCATTGTGTGGAGGCCGCAGTTACCTTGGTACATTGAACCGGAGAAGAAGAGATGACAGCTGAATAGCTTTTAGAAGAAGGTGTTTGTGGAGGAATTGATAACTTATTTTGCTTCAGTGTATGAAATGTTATTAGTATGCTTGAGTTTCAATATTTTGTTTCCAAGAATAAAAGCAGGACATGCTTTTGATGAGGACAAGTTCTCCCTGTTGCAGTTGGCACACCGGATCTCATTTGTGCAGTCTGAACTCTCCTGAGTTTCACTGCAATGGCAGCACCTTGCCTTGTTAGTGCAAGTTTTGGCACCGTGACCAAATCTTTGACACTTGTAACATCGGAGTGGATTTGGAACATAGACCTCCACTCCGATGTTAAAGTAACCTGCTTTTATGGACTTTGGTTGGTTGGTTGGTTGGTTTGTTGTTTAACGCCGCACTCAGCAATATTCCAGCTCTATGACGTCGGTCTGTAAATAATCGAGTCTGGACCAAACAATCCAGTGATTGATATCATGAGCATCGATCCATGCAATTGGGATCGATGACATGCATCAACCAAGTCAGCGAGTCTGACCACCCGATCTCGTTAGTCGCCTTTTACGACAAGCATAGTCACCTTTTACGGCAAGCATAGGTTGCTGAAGACCTATTCTACCCCAGAATCTTCACCGGTCAAGGGTTGTGAGAGCAAAAGTGAAAAGGTAAGTTTGGGTATTGATAATTTTTCCATCTTCTGCTTTTCTAGTACACTGCTTAACTTCGGTGACACCTTGACGTTTTAATTCAGTTGTGATCTCTTCTTCTCTCATATCTGACCGAAAGCGAGCTCGAGCTCGAACGATGCCCCTACTACAGTTCAGTTTCTTGTGCACTGAGACAACAACCCGTGTATTGACAAACTGCTGGAGGCCCAACAGATTGACGGATTGCTGTCTCGTGCACATTCCACAAGGATTGATCCACCACGGAGACGTGTGACGTTCTTAACCTCCCCACAGACACTTTGGATATCCTTGGAGATCGCAAACGGGTTTAGTTTTAAAGGACTATCATCTATGGTTGAAATGACTAAAATCTTGGCCAAAATCCTGACATTATTGGAGATAATTCCTCATCAGATGACGAAGAAAGGTGCCTTCTTTTATTAGCTTTCGATGAACCAGTGAGTGTGTTGTTAGCCATGATATGAGAAGATTGTTCAGCATTTCTGCTCTCCACCCGCCATCGAGTGTCAACAAGGACGATGTTGCAGTCAAGTTATTATATATCTTGATGAGAAGCAGTTTGATATATATTACATTATTACTGACAAAAAGGGTTTGTGTTATCCTGCCACAGTCAGGCTGGTTAGGCTCATCATCAGCTCAGGGCCCTTGCCCCCTCTATACGCAGCCCAGACAGCGAATGGGACTGCCTAGTCAAACCCACCCAGAAGTTTTCGGAGAACGTGAAGAATCCCCAACACTGCTGCCTTCTGCATTACCCAGATTGTCAGACGGGCTGTAGTCCTGGTAGCAAACCCGGGTACTCTCCCCGGTCAGTCAACAGATTAGGTACCAAACCTAAGGCACCGAGAACAATGGGGAGTCAGACAACTTGGTCCTTGGGATGCAAGCATGACATTTCGAAAGCGAGGCCCGCATATTTGCCATGTTTTTCCTCAATCTTGTCAATCACACTGGTGTCAAAGGGGACAGAAAATTCAATGATATAAATGACTTCATTGGATTTATCAAAAAGGACAAGATCAGGTTTGTTAGCCTGGATACGTCTAGGGATGTAAATGGGCCTATACCAAAGAATTTTGTATTTATCATTTTCCATGACGCCCTCTACACATTCCGGGTCATACCATGGATGGACCTCTGTTGCAAAACCACAAGCATGGCGATTTGATATGGCACTTCGCTTGGATGACACTCATTTCTGTACCGTCCAGCAGTACAGAACCATCAACAAAATCAAAAGGTTGAAATTATGTCCCACCTCCTTGGCTAGTTTTAGAAAACTGTGGAATGCCTTGTTTTCATCATGACTCTTGACATGCTTCACAAAAGGATCATCAGACAAACAAATGTGTGCAAAGTGCACAAAACAATTTTATCATGAAGAGCCTCCACATTAATCAAACCACGCCCTCCAATCATAATTGGTAAATATAAGCGATTGAGGGAAGAGCGAGGGTGGTGGGATCTATTGTCTGACATGATTCTTGGTGTTAGGGTGTCAATACCCTGAAGTAGTAGTAGTAGTAGTAGTAGTAGTAGTAGTAGTAGTATAAATAAACTCGTTCACTCTCTCAAATCGTAGTAGTAGTAGTAGTAGTGGTAGTAGTAGTAGTATAAATAAACTCGTTCACTCTCTCAAATCGATGAGTTCGTGGCGTGCCAGAACCCTATGAGCGTGTGTATCAATTCCCGATTCATCCTGATTAGTTTTGGACCTACATGACTTTCGACTTTCCTCCAACATGAAGCTCACATGCCATAACCGAAACACTGTTCAGAGCGGCGTTCAACTATACTCACTCACGAATTTCACAATAATGTATTTGCCATGTCAGCATTTAAACCTACATACTTAATCGGAGTTAATACTTCGGTAAACCAACGACCATTTAACTCACAGACTGAGCTCCTTCACGGACGTATGTATGCACATTTGCAATTTTTATGACTGAGTTCGTTCACTGGGCACATTCATCTATAACCATAGATCAATTCAAGGAGTTTTTAGTTCTCATTAAATAATTAATTATTTTTTAAATTTAACATTGATAAATTTTGAAATTGTGTTGACAGTTAATCTATTTTAACTGGCAGCTAAATTGTCTACCATCACATGCAGCTGAATGGTAGTGTAAATCCTGCTGGGGAACCATGCAGCAAACAGAAGTATTGTAAGTCCCCACGGCCCCTAGCATGATGGCCTAACTTTGGCTGCTGGCATTCTATAACCCGTTTGTTATGTATAGTGATGTATTTTTATGCTTCCATATAGTTTTAAATCTGTGATAAGTCTACTAGTAGTCATTTTACTGTCCGTTGTTGACAGGATTTTATCGTTTAAATGTATAACCTTTGAAAGTCACGATGTGTCTGATGAGACTTTAAATTTTAACTCACTCCTTCACTCAAAAATCGTACATTCAGGAGCTTAACACAAGTCACCATCAAGATCTTAGATTGTGTCTGGGTGTATTCGGACTTCACCTGTTGAAAGTTAATATGTTGAAGCCAATGAGCATTGTCTTGATATCAGAAGGACAAAACTGGCATGCAGTACGTAACTTAACAACTCCGGGTCGGGCGCAATAATATTTATTGAACTAAACTACACAAAACTGCATCCTGCTTACTTTGGTTGTTCTTACATGTACATATCTATGCTCTCTGCGTCATAGCATTTATTCATCTGATGAAGGAGTAAGCATATATTCCGACACGTTATGTTCCTCATAATAAAGAAGTTGACATCCATAAATTCTCTTCCTTATACATTGTATGGCTGAAATACTGCCTATGCGACACAATTTATATTTGAAGGTTTTTATAGCTGAGCATGTCATGCAGACATGTACGTCGCGCTAAGATGTGAAGGTAGAGACATCGCTTGACACGCCAAGCCGACAAAGGAGAAAATGTGACTGATAGCCTAAGATGACTGATTACGAGTTAATTCCAAATACAGCGAAAACCCTATTGTATTGTGAAGGACTGTCAGTCACGAATATTGCTTTTAACCATCATATCAGAATATAACATACTGACCTACTTTAAAGACGCTCGATTATTTGCAATATTTGGCGAAATGGTCACAACAATCAAATTAAGTTGTTCTGTGCAGTTAGGAATGAGATAATAAAACACAGCAATGTCGTTGTTAGAGTTCACATCTCATTCGATGCGTTTCGAGATTTGAGCACCAAAACAGCGTCAACATTTAACAACCTATGAGGTACAGTCGTGCATGCTCTTTCTACGATAATTTCAATGACCGTCATACAACCCTTGCTCAGAGGTTGTTTGACGAAGGTTACAATATGCAAGGCCTCAGTAAAGCTTTCAAAGAGCCTAATGGTGGATATGTTGAGAACATTTACAAATTTGACGATCGGTGACAAAAAATGTGGTACAATCATGTGTTCCCTACTTTTGACTTGTACCAAGCGTCATGACTTGATAGTGATTCATGAACACATGCTCCTGATTTCTTCGGAATCATACAATCGAGTTTGGTTTTAGCAGTGATTTCTTATGAATATGAAAAGGGTTTGGTTACTTGTATTTACAAACACCCAGAGAACCAACTGCCTGTGCTTGTCATGAGCGGCATTTAAATGGATCTAGTAGTCAGGCTCGGTGACTAGGTTGACTGCATGTCAAAGTATGTCAGTTGCTTATAACGGTGCTCATGACGTTAATAACTTGGTTTTCTGGTCCGGACTCGATTATTTAAAGTCCCCCGTCTTGTAGCTGGATCAGGGTGAGGTAAAACAACCACAAACAAACCAATCAACAGTGGCAATAAACATGATTCAAATCGTAACAGCTGATGTTTTCATTATCAAACCGTTCTTCCCTGGGCAATTATGTAGATCTGAGAGCCTGAAAGAGTCCAACTCATAAACGTGTGTTCACTTGCATAATTTTCCAATGATGCTTCTTGTCTATCAGGTGCTTGTCGTTGTCGAGACCAGAGTGAGTGTGATCTTCCCAAAAAGTACTGCGAGGCTGGGTGTGAGACTGGTTTCACAGGCAGTCGTTGCCAGTATGGTAAGAGACCTATTGAAACATTCAAAAGAATAAATGGTCAGTCCAAATGGTAAAATAGCATATGGTTGTTTCTTGAATATGTTTTTATTCACTATATATATACACAAATGTCATCCCGCATCATATTACCTTTAACCAAGGGATGACACTTACCATTTTAAATGTTTCAAGCAGTAAAACCGCTGTGGTTAAATAGTTGCAATATTACGTAACCTATTCCTACCAACTGTCCCTCTTTGTTCCTCGTGATTGCCTTGAAACTAGAAGATCGTGCATTTGAAACAATATATTGACCATGCATATATGTATTAAGTACGACACACACTTAGTGGCATATAAACATGAGTTAGAGTTAGATGTATTCTACCAAATGATTGTGTTATATATAAGGGTTTATCTTTTTTATCTATTCCACAATGTCGAGTTAATGTCTCACGGATAAACTTTCGATGAACTCATTACATTACTTTCTACAGTTTTTATTATATTCTCCTTTTATCTTTTTATTTTGAAAATAAAGATAGACTTGCTCAACAGAAGTTGATTTTCTTTGCTTGACATGAAGTGGATTTCTATATTTTGGTTTAGCGACTGAGATGATAATGTCTAAATTATGAATTCAGCAGATGTCCCATGGAAACATCTTCCAATTAATTATATTTTAATGATTTCAGTCAACCAATTGGCATACGCATCCTGCAAAGTCCACCAAGACGTAGTCGATGAGAACCTCAGCACGTGTACAAGTCAGGGTTACACAGGTTATATAACATGCAGTATCGAAGGCCCACCCAGAGAATTTAACATCATTCGAATTTTTCATGAACCAAGTAGGTCTATATTAATCATGTGTAAATGTATTTGGGATTAAATATAAGTTGGTCTACTGTGCAGAGTTGTGTGAGAAGTGATAAACGTCTGACATGTGTATAACTTCTGCTGACACGCCGAGATATAACTGGAATACGGTTCAAGGGAGCGTTAAAACCAATTCACTACCACATGTTTTATGAATCGTAAATATGCATTATTGCATTATAATTAAATAATTTGGACCGATTACGCTTTGGATCAATCAACATCATGTATATTTAAATATTGTATTCCGTTATATTGACCACGTTTGGTTTGACGTAAGTGGTAATAATATACCGCTGCTTATCAGTTTGACTAGGTATCCCTCACGCACGAAACTTTACACCAACCGTATTTGTATAGCTTAATTAATGTTGGATTGAATGATGTGACTGGATTTTTGTGGGTGATTCACTTTTGTTTCTACCTTAAACAGATGCCAAGATTTTCAGCAACAATCCCATCAATCTAAAATGTTGCTTAGGTTCTCGGTTGTTCTGAAAACTGTCGATAGGTGATTTGGACCCATCAGTTCCGCTGTCAGTTGACAAACAAATCTGATACAAGGGAAGAGTGCCCGCCAGTCTTCTGTCCTAGTTCAACTTTGAAGTTGATTCTAACCAATCTAACAGTTGCATATCAAACAATAATTCGTCTAAAATTCTTATTTTTTGTTGGTAATACAAAAGATAAGCCATGTTTGATAATTGCAGTAAATCTTACTGGATCAATGTCATATGATGATTTTACATAACATGTCCATTATCAAACTAAATCCAAAAGAATGACTTGTTTCGTCTTATTTTGTTAAAGGTAAAAGTCTGCCCTCATTTTACATTGCTACAAGGGGCGAATGGGAGCAAGTATCGATTCACAAAAATGTGACCAACAAGATTACTGACTACGAGTACAAAGGGAAGCGGTTAAACTCCAGTCTTATATTACACCCTAAGTTCAGAGTGTGCGAGGTAGCAGTTGCTTATGGCAAGTGAACGTTTATTATGCATGAAATAAGTTACATAGAAGGATGTATTCATGGCGTGGAATCTTTGGACTGCTGACGTCTACATATACTTATCATATACATGATACTACCATGTGGATAGTGTATACTAAAGCCCGGAGAAATGGTCGATTAAATTACATTAAATAGATGCGCTACTCTTTTGGGTGAATTTTTTGTGTGCCTTTTCACACGTTATTATATCCAATTGCTTACCTACGATATCACTATATCTCTAGCCATCATTTTTGGTGTACTTTTTCCTGATTCCATATGATTAAATGAACTTTCTCATTGACGTTACAAGTACAAAAGTAAAAACATCTACATCTGATATGTGGTTCCACGTATTATCCTTGTCTGTCCTGTACACTTTCTACGGTTATTCACACGTGCTTGCCCATTCTTAGAATGCCTTCATGACGATGAATGTAATATGGAGTGCAACTGTAAGAACGCCTCGGACTGTTTGGGGAACCCCAGGAGGTGTCCGTCTGGCTGTGCAGTGGGATACACCGGAAAAAACTATGGCTGTGAAAAAAGTGAGTTTTTATATTTATTTACATATTTGTTAAAGTATACTCAATTATCATATACTTTTTAATTGACATACTGAACAATGACTATGAGTATGAGGATATGTACTGTATGGCTTTCGAGACTGATTTAAACTGTACACACAACAAGTTACTTTTCCAGCAAGACCAAGGTAGCCCGATGCCCTTTTAAGGCGTCCGCCTTACCGGAAGGTCACAAATAAACTGTTCTTTCCTTTTCAAGAGGCTGTGCATCAATACATGTACAGTAATACAGTCGTTATCCAAATAGCATGTTTGTCTACTTTGTCATCCGTCAACTTCTAAAAAATGCCTATCAAACAATATCATTTATATTGTTACATTTAAAATAAGAAGTTTTACCCAAAAGAGTAATGTGATAATAGTTTCTCGTTGATCGTTTGTAAAATTTGTGTGCTTCAAATAACTTATCTTAGATTTGTTTTGCCGATACTAAGAGAATAGCGCAAGAACGCAAATACTGCCATGGAGTAAAAGATTCATTTCTTGCGACGTGTGTTTCCAGAACAGACACATCCACTGTTCAATGGGTAATTATTTTATCAGGTGAGGATTCCGGGTCAGAATAGATCCCAAGCAAACTGAGCACTATGAGGCGATTTAATGGATAAGGTGGTCAGGCTAGGTAACTTCTTTGGATGTGAGTTTGGAGACGCGATCATTTATAGGCCGCCGCAATATAGCTGGAATATTGCTGAGAGTGGCGTTACACAACAAACGGGAAACAAACACCTTAACGACACATACACAGGTGAACATTGATATGACAGTACCTTTAAATGTTTTATACACATGCACAAATGTTAATCGCCACCAACCATATTTGTGAGCTGTTACTTTTGGCACTTAATGATGACTATTATAACGAGATGTACGATTGTTATAAGCCGTATATGTAAACCTCATGTAATGCAAAAGTTGTCCCAAAGCAAGTTTATCTTGTGTTCCAAAAGAATATGATCAGAAAGGAATTTTACCGAAGACCAGAAATTGAAGGATTAGAAAACATTGAAAAACTATTTTTGTCATGTAACTGTCATGATATCAGCAGACCATTATCAGGTGTCACATAGACACCCTAGGGAGTGCAGAGTCTATTGCATGACAGAAACGTCAGTAACGTGTGTATGATCCACGGACATTGACCACAACTTCAACCCTACGCCTCATACTCATTACAAGTCGTTGAATGCTTCTCTGAGGCAAACGGACCCATTCTTCATGAAGTGCGGCTTCAAGTCCAGCGAGATTTTGAACTGGGGGATCATGATGTCTGATTTTCCGGCCAAGAATGTCCCAGAGATGCTCAATCGGATTAAGATCCGGACTACAGGCCGGCCAAGGAAGAGTGGCAATAGCTTCTTGACACAAATAAGCCAAAACTGCCCGAAATCTGTGTGGTCTAGCATTGTCGTCCATGTAAACAGGTCTTGTCTGAAGAGGATGGTAGTCAAAATAAGGAACTACCGCTGGACGAAGAACGGCATCTTGGTATTGTTGGCCATTCAGGTTTCCACGAATTATCACCAGCAGAAGTTTGCAGCCGAAGGAAACACAACCCCATATCATGACAGACCCCCCGCCACATGGTACGATCTTTTGGATGTTCCTTGGTGCAAAACGAGTGTTACGTTGCCTCCAAACAGGTATTCGACCATCAACAGTTCGTAGCAACATTCGACACTCGTCAGACCAATGGATCCTTCTCCAGTTGGCCAAGTTCAATCGACTGAGGGCACGACACCATATCAGACGATTCCGCATGTGCCTCTCAGTCAGTTCAGGACGTTTTACTGGTCTTCTGGCGTTATAACCAGCCGCTCTGAGGCGACGCCTTACGGTCATCGTCGAGAGTCTCCGATGGGTAATCCACTGCAGTCTTAAATCTGTTGAAGTGGCAAATGGATTTCGTCTGACTATCCTGAAAAGACGTCTATCCTCTCTGTTAGAGGTCTTTCTTGGCCTACCAGACCTATGCCTGTCATTGACATCATTGGTTTGACCATGTTTGACAATTAAACGAGTGATAACACTGTGATGACGACCCATTTGTCTTGCAATAGCTCTGCATGACATGCCAGCATTTTTCATGCCTATCACTTGCCATCTTTCAGCGTTCGTTAACTTTCTCCTCACCATGGCTGATTTTCAACCTCTATTGGAAGGGGAATCTCACACAGGAGCAAAATGCAACCACGTGTCTGAAACTTGAATTTCACTATTTATAGGGTAGGGGAACTGCAGCAACACCTAAAGCACGCTTTCCTTGTGGTATCTGGACAAATTTGGGTTCATGAAACTATGGAAGCCTAATTCAGTCATACATCATCGTATTTCGTGTTTCTGATTCCCACACGTGAAATCAAGAGACTATGAATATGGTGGCGCTTAACTTTTGTGCATGTGTATATATCTCATTATCTGCACAGTGTCCTGCAGCAGGTTACAAGCCCCCATCATAAAACAACACTGGGGCATATTCATAATTTCAAATAGCAATATGCTTTTCCTTTTTTCAGTTGAAGTAACGCCTGCATCGACTCTGGAGCACGAAACGTCAACAGCTGGTGAAACTACATCACCTCCAGTGGAACCGACCAACGGTAACTATAGCCTTGTATCGCAGTTGGAAAAGTGGCGTAACTCCAGTACATTTGCGACGACGTTTATGAGATACATCTACTTAAAACGATGTATGTTATCCATAAACATACACCTATAAACCTACTTTGAATTTAAAAGCGGGTATTGTTGTTGTTTATCCCAATCAACAATTATAAAGCCAATCACAATCGCCTATGAATAAAGAACATGCATGTCTTACCTCACAAAGTGATTATTCTACAAAATACCACAAAATACCAAATACTCGCGTGAATGAGACGCAAACAAAATAAGATAAGATACACAATCTGTGCACATAATGCGTTCCAAGTTAGTTTATTTACATCTATGTTGCCATTAGTATGTTATTTCGTGTCTGATGTTCTGAGCGCGTGTCCCTTCCTTCTTCCTATAGCAGGACTGTTTGTATGATGAAACCAATACAACGATAGTAGCCAGGCCGTGTCATAGATTTGGTGATGTTCAGAGTTTGCATGATTCAAAGAATCGTTAGCATCGGAGTATGTTTCATGCTTACGTGTCTTCCTGTTTGCCACCGGGGATTTATTATATTATCATGAGGAGGTATGTGTGCTGATTAAGACTAATTTTTACATGTGTCTTTTATCACCATGTCTAACTTGAGTAAGCCCCATTGATCCGCAGTGAGGTGGCCTAGCTTTGGTAGCTGGTGGCTTATAGCCCATGTTTTAAAGAGTTGTAAATGATTATTATTATTAAATATTTGTGACAAATTTGCTTTTAAATATAATTTTGTATTTATGACGTACGTGCATATACATGTATATAAACTTGTTGGAATAATGCAGATAAGACGTTATATTAACTCACTAACACACTAACCGTTAATGAACGGTTTAACTGTTTCTTTTTTACGATGGAACTTTCTTACATGGCGGCGTGGCAGAAAACTACTTTCGTTAGACTTCGTTTTGGACTTATGCGGGTTTGAATCCTGCTGGCGACAACACATTTGTCGTGGAAATTGTTCGTTCATAAAGGTGTATGATATTGGGGAAAAGGAAGTTCCGTCATTGCCAAGTGGTGTTTAACTGGCAATTCAGTCCGTTAATGCTTGGTTGAAGACATGATTTAATTGACAGGTAAATATAATATACAATTCTTGTTTTACACTGACAAACTTAACTAACCGACCTACTTCATTAAATACATGCTATAATAATTTTGTCAGTCATGAAAAATAACAATAACAACGTCATAAAGCCAATACATAGCTAACACTCTGACTGATTTTGTTTTCTCAAAATGGCGAGCGTGACCATGACCAAGGCGGAAGTCAGCACTGTCATGTGGTCTTGGCGCAGAAACTGAAATATAATTCCCCTTCACTCCACCGCTGCCGCGTGCAATCTTCCAGGCAGGATAGTAAATTCGTTGTTTGTAACATTCTGACCGCTGTTACTAATTAAGCTGGTAGAATTCACTTGTTTGTTTTGTGAAATGTATTCAGACATGAGTAATATCGACTAAACTCCTGCACTATTGGTAAAGAAAGGACTTAAGAATACAGATGGTAGGTATAATATCTTTGAACCACCCTCTGCTGCTGCACACTGAGAGGCTTAATCAGTGCCCTAGAGGTTATCCTCTTTCTGTTGATACAGAGTGTCCTGATGGCTCGTATGGTGTCAATTGTACCTCGACGTTGAACATGTCGAGTTATAATTGACACCATACGAGCCGTATGGATGTATTGTATATCCATGTGATCGGAAAACTGGCAGATGTTGCTATGGCTCCTGTAAACCTGGATGGACATCTGGGTCTTCTTACAAATGTGACAGTAAGTACTTGCAGATGTGAGTTACAACTTAGATAACATGATGTGGAAATCTGACATGATGGCCAATATATGTACATTTGTGAGACCCATACATTGGTTGAAAACATTTGTTGTCTTTAGTGTACTTATCTAAGAATAAGTAATGCGAGTCATCGGAGATGAAGTTGTTTTTATTAAGATTACTATGCCTTGTACGTGTTGATATTAGCTGTATGTATTTGTCATGACATTAGTATGATGTTAATGCAGTAATTTCTCCACAAGTGCCCGCCGTGATATTGCTGGAATATCGCTAAAAGCGGTGTATAACCATACTCACTCACTCTCCACAAGTGAAGTACTTCTACTGGTTGTACTATAATGTCTATACAGTGGAGATAGTAACAAGTACAAACCATCAAACACATTTATCTTCATGGGATTGCAGTATCTGTAACAATTAGATCTGAAATAGATTATATGTCATGTAACGTTTATTCTAAATACATGCATGTAACATAAGACCAGACAGCCCCACATCATAGGAACATCAGCTGTTTGTTGTTAAACGCCGAGCTCAGCAATATTCCAGCTAAATGACGGCGGTCTGTAAGTAATCGAATCTTGACAAGACAATTCAGTGATTGATATTATGAGCATCGAACTACGCAATCGGGATACGATGACATGCATCAACAAAGGCAGCGCCCCTGACCACCCGATTCCGTTAGTCGCTTCTTACGACAAGTACGGGTTGCTGAAGACCAATTCTAACCCGGATCTTCACGGGTTCTTCTTTGTTTTGGGTAGAAGAGTGTGCAATAGTTTTAACAGATACCAAGTGTCAAGTCTTTGAGTAGCATTTAGAAGTTATACACATAAAGACGAGAATATATGGATGTCAACTTCCTTATTATGAGAACACAACGTTTCGAAGTATATACTTACTCCTTCATCGGATGAATAAATGCTATGAAGCATAGAACATATATATGTACCTGTAAGAACAACAAAAGTAATAAGATAACAAAGGTGGAAACTTAACAAGGGAAGCCAACAGTTAATTGGCGCTGATGGGTGATTACTGATAAGCAATGGACACTTAACAGTTGATAGGCGTTGGTTGGTGATAATGATGGGCAACTGGAAGCCAGGAATTAAATTGTCACTGATTGGTAATAGCTGAAGACCAATTCTGACCCGGATCTTCATGGCTTCTTCTTTGTTTGGGTAGTAGAATGTGCAATAGTTTTAAAAGATATCAAGTGTCATATATGTATGTACTTGTAATAACAACAGAAGTTGAAGAAGAAGACATGAATTAACAACAGTGTTTCGTTAGTTAACCATTCTTGACCCTAAAGTAGTTTCATAATTATGTGTTCAAGAACGAATAGCATCTGTTACTCCCATGGGCACCAATTGTGCTCCCCTCCTTGCTGATCTTTTTCTTTATGCATTTGAACAAGAGATTCTACACAAAAGTCAAACGAAGCGAATATGGCTAAGAAGTTGAAATAAGGCTTCAGATATATCGATCATCTGATATCATTATTTAATGGTCAATAGGAAAATCACATGTTCTTCATACGAAGATTTCAAAGGATACCAACGGCGGGGCATGATCCGCTCACCTATTAGTGAACTCCTGGTATCCTCACTATTGCAAACCAAATACTAGTATTAGCTGACCAAGATCTTTTAAGATTGTTCCAGAAGAGCATAGATGTTTCGTAAATGCATCAAAGTCATTTGAAACTGGGAGTCTTCTTGCATCATATATACCGATGTAGTGCTTTGCTGTTGATCGGTCCATTATGCATTACTGTAAGGTAAGTACTTATATGTTACTGTGATACTGAAGCTTTTCTGGCCTTTTTTGGCTATTAGCAGACGGATCGTTTCACAATTATACTGGTTGATTCTAATTTTGCCGGCACCTATGCTGAGGATATACCAGATATCATCGCACAGTGAGGCAAAATATCATTGCTGTCATATTATGCAAGTTGTTTTTAAGTAGAACACAAAGCACTTGCAAGTCCGGTCCTGCAGTGCCCAACGATACAGTATGCTAACCAAACAACGCTCACGATGTTTCATACAAAATACCCAGTTTATCAATGACTGTCTACTTCTCATTGGAACAATTTGTGTTAATTTACAGCATGCAGTAGCGGCTATTACAGGGACGGGCAAGCCTGTACACCGTGTGGAGCTGGGTGTACGTCACCGTGTAACGCGGCGAACGGCAACTGTACGTGTAAACTTGGCTGGACGGGAAATAGCTGCAACAGTAAGCACAGTCTTTCTATATCAATGAGGACATAACACATAGTGATACACCCATGGTGAGAATGCGGTGTTCACTCATTTCAGTGTCATAATATGTATGAGTGAGTGAGTTGTGTTTTACGCCACTTTCAGCAAAATTCACGCATTGTATCCATGTAGGGAATCAAACCACGTTGCAAGCGAATGCTATAACCACAAGAATACCCCACCGTTCCTAGTCTGTATAATTTTGGTGATGAAGTGACAAGGATGGAACAAAGACTGATCAATATCTGGCGTGTCCGCCATGTTGGGCGATACATGCACGATACCTTGATGGCATACTGGTGGATTAATTTGCGTTTGGGTTTCCCTTGGTATTGCCCGCCATTCGAGAAGAGCTATCCCAAGCTTGGCCACGTTGTGAATAAACACTTGGAGACATGTTATTATTAATCAAGTGTGAGAGCATTCTGATTTGTTAAATTGCTTTGACATTTCAGCTGTGATTCTTCACAAATACACATCTAGAATTACTAGAACGCAGAAAGTAATGGTTTTGAACATTGTCAGTATTCAGTATGCACGTTTCAGAGCATTCGTTTTCTTTAGAATTGTTTGTTGTTTAGAATTCTAAGTTGTAACTTTTCACAACTGCGAAGAAAGTAGCATGTTGTGGAACCACCAAATATGTTAACAGTTGGAAATTGTCATGAAAGTTACTTTCACTCCCTACCTGTGCTTATTGGCGGATATGACTCAAAGGACGACGCGCTCTAGTGGCGCCTTCCCTAGTCAACTTCATGGTTCCTTGTACCATATGCACGTTAATCCTTCTGACAGTGCCCCTTTAACAAGTAATCACAATAGCTAAAATATATCTTGTTATCCTAATATGGTCATCGCCCATCGTTGATAATTACTGGCTGAGATATGACTGGTCTTTACAAAACACCATACTTTTGGTTTGTTCTCTGTCCATGTACAGGAATATTGTTGATTCAATTAATGCGCATCAATAAGAAGCTACAAAACTCTACTTAATCAAAAATGCTTTGTACGATTTAGACTAGATCACATGCATGTGTCTTTGCATCAGTATCAAATGCTGATGATACCAGGTGTAACACAATCTAACGTCACATGACTTCATGTAACATGCGTTATTCGCCGCTCAATCATTTACGTAACAGACTGCGAGGACGGCTATTACATGGATAAACGTGACTCTTACATGGATAGACGTGACTGTGTAGAGTGTGGTGCTGGATGTGAGTCGGGGACTTGTGAAGATGAAACCGGCCACTGTAGCTGTAGATCTGGTTGGAAAGTACCGAGATGTGCAACACGTATGTGTCAAACTTACATTACTGTTTCTAACATATACTCTCATTTAATTATTTGTTTTTTAAAAGAAATTGAATTGATTAATAAATTTTGATGTAGAAAGTTATATATTTTATAAATTGGTAATATGTAATTATGAACTGAGATTGTTAGTGGTTGTCCCCTTGATTGAGGTTGAAGTAGAGTAAAATTATTGTCCCCCAGAGAGGGTGCGTAAGCCCACTTCATTCAAAGTAATTCATATATACCAGGTTTTTAATTGTAGAATGATTGTTTGTTTTGATTTTGGCTAAATTTCTCCATAATCACCAATAACTGAAGGGATGGTGTAAATCTTGCCGGGGTCCATGCAGGTAGCAAAGGTACTGTAAGTCCCCATGGTCCCTGGTATGGTGGCCTAACTTTAGTTGATGGTGATCAATAGCCTGTTTTTATGATGTGTCGTCTGTCATAATCCAATCATTTTATTGTTCTAAAACTAGTTTTAATCTGTGATATATTGCTAGTTGTTGTACTGACGACAGTTTTTTATATATGCTATAACTTGTTCAAGTCACGATATGGCTGAAATATAGATAAAGATAGAAGACATGTACCAGAATTTTCCTAGGGTTCTTTAATATGTCATAGCTATGATGTCAGCAATATTCAAGATATGTCAGCAGTGCAGGAACCAGGCATTCTATTGACTGATAACATAACTGACGATCCACACAGTCGGGGACGATGACAGCATTCAGACAAGACACAGAGCCTGACTACCTGATCATATCATGTTGTATGTCACGAAGCAATAGTGTGCTGGGGACCTATGTTAACAGAGGAATAGAGAAAGGGAAAGAGGGAAACAAACCCACATGGGTACATCAAAGTGAAAATATAAGAACCTTTGAATGTGTGAGCGACAAAATATAGCGAGTAAATTATAGTCACTGTCATGTTAACAAGCAGGCAACAAATCTCGTAAATATCTAATTTTATTCGTACCGATAATTAAGAGTCGTCATGATTATTGGTTGATCAAAAAGTTCAACTTGTATGACCTCATAATGCAGGATTTGTCGGACAGGAATCGAATCGGAGAAAAAAGATGTGAATTTAATTAAATTCGCTAGTAAACAGGTATCCTTTCGCCTAACGCAGTACTGTGACCTTAACGTCACCTCCAAACCTACAAGGGTCTTAAACTGAGCTCGGTTCCAACAAACGGCTAAACGTGTCTTGCCCTGTGCTTGGTGAACCTTCCATTTTGTGTGTGTACGTGTACTTCGCAAGTACTTAGAATCTTGTCTCGGTGCACAAAACACTGGATTCATGCAGGGGCATCAATTTGGAACAAAACGTCTGTTGTAGAAAAATTGGGTATAATATGTTTTTCAGATTCACAGACGAACGTCTAGATATTCAAATCTCTGCTAAAAGCACAGTCGAAAGCGTAGTGTACAGTGTTGACAACCTAGGGAAGAATAATAGTTCTAATTTTATAGGAGATTTACAATCGAAGTTTGGGATGAAATCAGTTATATGATATTAAAACAAGTCTCTTAAGGAAACATCTTTCTAAAGTAATTATTAGTAGCTACACTTACTCATATTCTGGAAACTACCAAAAGTTGATAAGCAGAGTTGTCCTCACGTCACAAAGATATCGGAGATGTAGTCATGTCATGTAACGTTTATTCTAAATACATGCATGTAACATAAGACCAGACACCCCACATCATAGGAACATCAGCTGGCCATACGGACATTGGGTTCTTCTTTATTTTGTTTTTGTTTGTTTGTTTGTTTGTTGTTTTACGCAGCACTCAGCAATATTCCAGCTATATGATGGCGGTCTGTAGATAATCGAATCTGGACCAGATATTTCAGTAATTGATATTATGAGCAGCGATCTACGCAATTGGGATACGATGACATGCATCTACCAAGGCAGGGAACCTGACAACCCGATCCCGTTCGTCGCCGCTTACGACAAGCATGATTTGCTTGAGACCAATTCTAACCCGGGTCTTTACGGGTTTTTCTCTGTTTGGGTGGTAGAATATACAATAGTTTTGACAGATATCAAGTGTCAAGTCTTTGAGTGGCATTAAGAAGTGATACACATAAAGAAGAGAATATATGGATGTCAACTTCCTTATCATGAGGACACAACGTTGAAGAGTATATACCTGTCTACCACGAATTCAAGTGTGACGTGGCTAGAACGTGTGGTTACTAATTAGTTGACCGTTTACAATAGGTGACCTGTTACTTCGAACCACAAATATATGAACCACCCTAATATGACGTCATCTATTGATTTTTGGGGTTTCTTATTTTCGTTTAAAACTTCTCATAGTCAGCTACAAATGCTGACAGTGTTGGAAATACACAGCCTCTGAAGTCGGTTATGACTGATGACTCAGTAGATGTATAATCGAAATCAGCATTGTCAGTTCCATGACAAGATAAATGAATGTTACAATTACTATAATTAATGTTTTGTTTTGTTTTGCAATGTAAGGGTGTGTCAGGTACCGTTACGGTATTGACTGTAAACAGACCTGTTCATATGGATGCAACTCGAGAGAATGTAACAGTTCTACCGGAGAGTGTCTGACTCGGTCCTGCAAACCAGGGTGGAGAAGCACAGATTCCCGTCGACGATGTGATCAGGGTAAGACACACAATCTGTGCACATAATCCGTTAGTTTATTCACATCTATGTTGCCATACGTATTTTATTTCGTGTCTGATGTGCTGAGCGCGTGTCCCTTCCTTCTTCCTATAGCAGGACTGTTTGTATGATGAAACCAATACAACGATAGTAGCCAGGCCGTGTCATAGATTTGATGATGTTCAGAGTTTGCATGATTCAAAGAATCTTTAGAATCGGAGTATGTTTCATGCATACGTGTCTTCCTGTTTGCCACCGGGCATTTTCTATTATCACGATCAGGTTTTTGTGCCTATTAAGACGATTTTTTTACATGTGTCTTTTATTACCATTAGGTAAAAGCTGCATAAGTCACTTAGTATAGTCGAACATGAGTAAGTCTCCATGATCCGCAGTGAGGTGGCCTAGCTTTGATTGCTGGTGGCTTATAGCCCATGTTTTAAAAAGTTGTAAATAATATATTAAGAATAAATATATTTGTGACAAATTTGCTTTAAAATATAACTTTGTATTTTTGACATACTTGCATGTATATAAACTTGATGGAATAATGCAGATACGACGTTACATTAACTCACTAAAGCACTAACCGTTCATGAACGTTTTAACTGTTTCTTTTTTGTGATGGAAATTTCTGCCATGACGACATGGCAGAAAATTACTTTCGTTAGCCTTCGTTTTGGACTTTTGCGGGACTGAATCCCGCTGGCGACACACATTTGTCGTGGAAATTGTTCGATCATAAGGTGTATGACATGGGGGAAAGGAAGTTCCGTCATTGCCAAGCGGTGTTTAACTGGCATTTCAGTCCGTAAATGTCCGGTTAAAGACATAGTTTAAGTTTAGTTACATAATACTACACAAATAATTGACAGGTAAATATAATATACAATTCTTGTTTTACACTGACAAACTTAATTTTACCGGCCTTCTTCATTGAATGCATGCTATAAAATTCATAATTTTGACAGTCATGAAAAGGAACATTAGAAACGTTATAAAGCTAATACATAGCTAACACTCTGACTGACAATCCTCTTGTTTTCTCAAATGTGGCGAGCGTGACATTGACCTAGGCGGAAGTCAGCAATGTCATGTGGACAGTCATGCGCAGAAACTGAAATATAATTCCCCTTCACTCCACCGCTGCCGCGTGCAATCTTCCAGGCAGGATAGTAAATTCGTTGTTTATAACATTCTGACCGCTGTTACTAATTAAGCTGGTAGAATTCACTTGTTTGTTTTGTGAAATGTATTCAGACATGAGTAATATCGACTAAACTCCTGCACTATTGGTAAAGAAAGGGCTTTAAAATACAGATGGTAGGTATAATATCTTTGAACTACCCTCTGCTGCTGCACACTGAGACGTTTGTTAAGTGTCCAAGAGGTTATCCTCTTTCTGTTGATACAGAGTGTCCTGATGGCTCGTTTGGTGTCAATTGTGACTCAAAATGTTCAGCTGGATGTCGTGTATCTTCGTGTAATCGGAAAACTGGAAGATGTAGCTGTAAACATGGATGGACACCTGGGTCTTCTAACAGATGTGACAGTAAGTACCTGTAGTTGGGACTTACAACTTAGAAGACATGATGTGTAAATCTGACATGGTTGCCAATATATGGACATTTGTGAGACCCATACAATTGTTGAAAACATTTGTTGTCTTTAGAGTACTTACTTCAGAATAAGCAAGTCATCGGAGATGTAGTTGTTTTTTAATTAGATTACTTTGCCCTGTACGTATTGATGTTAGCTGTATGTATTTGTCATCACAGTAGTATGATGTTAATGCAGTAATTTCTCGACAAGTGAAGTACTTCTACTGATTGTCATATAATGTATGGAGATAGTAAAACGTTCAAACCACCAAACACATTTATCTTCATGGGATTGCAGTTTCTGTAACAATAAGATCTGAATACGATAATATGTCATGTAACGCATGTAAAATAAGACCGGATATCCCACATCACAGGAACATCAGCTGGCCATACGGAAATTGAGTTCTTCTTTGTTTTGATTTTTTTTTTTTTTTTTTGTTGAACGCCGCACTCCGCAATGTTCCAGCTATATGACGGCGGTCTGTAAATAATCGAATCTGGACTTAGGCAATTCAGTGATTGATATTATGAGCATCGATCTACGCAATTGGGATACGATGCCATGCATCAACCAAGGCGGCAAGCCTGACCATCCGATCCCGTTAGTCGCCTCTTACGTTAAGCATTATTTGCTTGAGACCAATTCTAACCCGGGTCTTTACTGGTTATTCTCTGTTTGGGTAGTAGAATGTGCAATAGTTTTAACAGTTATATACACAAAGAAAAGAATATATGGATGTCAACTCCCTTATTATGAGGACACAACGTTTCGGAGTATATATACTGAAAGACAAAAGTTCCTGTGAATAAGATTTAGTGCAAAGTTATGTTTTTTACCAAATCTGAAACAATTTCGGTTTGCAACAGATAAAAGACTCCTGTAAGTGTTCAAATGGTTTTATTTGCCATACTGACTTCAGAAAATGCGTGATTTCATAAAAAAAACGCATAAACATGCCAAAATGTCAATTTACAAATCAATAGCATGTGTGTCCACTTCTGGTTGCGATGCAAGCAACACATCTTCATCTCATGGAATGGACCAGGCATCTGAAAAATGTCCTGTGGGATATCTGTCCATATCTGCTGGAGCATGTTTCGAAGTTCCTGGAGTGAATGTGGAACACGTGGTTGACGTCAAAGGCGCCGATCTATCTCATCCCACGTGTGCTCGAGTGGTGAGAGATCAGGGGAGCGAGCCGGCCAGTGGATGACATTCTTGTTGTTTTGTTGAAGTTGATCGTGAACGAGTCGAGCAATATGAGGCCGGGCGTTGTCATGTTGAAAAGTAATGCCTGGGCCATGACGACCCAAAACCGGTAGAACAACAGGGTCGATGTCCCCACTGCATAGCTGTCCAGCACAGACGCTGTCTGCACCACTGTAGACGTGTTTGACGGTGGTTTCCTGTCAAAATGGGACGTCTGGTGGGTCTTCTGGCGACAATCCCTGCACATCTGAGGCGGCTACGTACTGTTTGAGAAAATATTCGTCGAAGGCCAGGGATGCTTCTTGCAGTCACTGTTGCTGGCTGGAATCGATTTCGTAGGTGTGTTGTTCGAATCCAGTTGTCTTGTCGATTATTGGTTACACATGGCCTGCATTCGTCTGTTGCCAACGTTGCCATAAACACCAAATGGTGTTTCTGTGGACGTTAAATTGTCTTGCAACATCACGTTGACTCGATCCTGCTTCAAGTATACCAATGGCTCTCAGACGCTTATTTTCGGACAGGCGTGGCATTGCCACTGCATGGTTCTGATGCCATTCTGCTTGAGGAAGTCTCTTGTTGCTCTCATAGTGTGGGCACAGGAATTATCAAGCTGAAACTCATGGTTGCGTCGACGTGCCAAATGAGGTATGGCGTGTGGTCTCAAGACTTGATCAATGTACCGAGATGTTTTTGGAAGACCACAGGGCCGACCCTCTGTGCAAGACCAATTCCACCCCACACCACATTGCTCGGACCACCCCACGAGTCACTCTCAACAACACAAGCATCCGAATAACGTTCACCTTGTGTCGCCAGACTCTCTCTCTCTGCCATCTGCTGTTGAAATACAGTAACGGCTGTCGTCTGAGAAGAGGACTCTTTTCCACTGCTGGTGGCGCAATGCTGGTGCTGTGTTGCCCACTGAAGACGGTCCCGGCGATGACGTGGTGTCAGAATGGGTCCTCGTGTGGCCTGTGACAGTGGAGGTGTCTGCTCGTCAATCGTCGACGCACGGTGGACGCACTAATGTGTCCCCATGGTCTGTCGAGCAGATTCTGCAGCAGTAACAAAGCGATCTTGAAGATGTTGTCGCACAATCTGACCATCCTGACGTCGGGTGGTGCCCCTTGGTCTTCCACTACGTGGTCGGTCATCTGTAGTGTTGGTTGTCTGGCACTGTTGCTGGAGCCTGTATATGGTCCTTACGTGGACTTGAAATGCATTGGCTGCTTGCCGGCTTGCAATCGTCCGAGGGCTTGGTGTCGCTGATTTCTTGTCAATCTTGGCACGTGGTAGCAATTCATTAACGAATGAATGTTATCAGATCTGGGTGGATTTTTATAGGGCAAGAAATGGGGGAACGCATGTGCATTTCTATTTGCACGGTATTCACGTGCATCGGGTTACCATGACCGTTGCCGTAATGCGTTTTGGCGATCGGTTTTATTGTCATCTGCTATGCTTTTTTCATCATCAAATTTCATTTTTCCGGACAAGGTAATGTTACATTTTCGAAACTTTAACAAAAATTACCCAGATATTTAAAGTACAACTTTTCATGCAATGTTACTTGGGGCTGACGTTTCTTTTGCGGTTTAGTATATATATTTATATGTACGTGAAAGAACAACAAAAGCATTAAGATAACTAAGGTAGAAACTTAACAAGGGAAGCCAACAGTTAATTGGCGCTGATAGGTGATTAGGAATGGATAAATATAAGCCAACACTTAACAGTTAATTAGCGTTGGTAGGTGATAATTATCACTGATTGGTAATAGCAATGGAAATCCCCGCCTGAGATTAACTTATGCCTTTCTTGTATTTTTCCAGTGATTAATATCATGAGTATCGATACATGGAATTGGGATACGATTGCATTCAATCATCCCATTCAACGAGTCTTAACACCTGATCCGTTTTGTCGCCTCTTAAGACATACATACAGCATTCTCAAAACTGATCTATGTAGAATGTGATGCTGTTGTTATTCTCCATGTGAATATGCATATTACTATTTCCTTGAACAACGTATTCTTTATACAAATGCAGTAATTCTCCCAATTTAGAAATAATGTCTTTCTTCATCACTATTTGTTAAGCGAGCCTGACCACTCGATCCCATTAGTTGCCTCTTACGACAAGCATGGGTTGCTGATCTTCATGTGTCCACAGCTTCATAGTATTGGCTTTATATGTAATTCTTATCAATATTTACTGATTTGAAATTGCAAGGGCATTATTTACAAATATTAACTGACCAACCTCGTTCAAGTAGCCAATATATGTACATTTGTGAGGCCCATACAATTGTTGAAAACATTTGTTGTCTTTAGTGTACTTATTTAAGAAAAAGTAATGCAAGTCATCAGAGATGTAGTTGTTTTATGTATGATGTTAATGCAGTAATGTGGCCACAAGTGAAGTACTTCTGTAGGCTAACAATTCGAAGGTCGCGAGTTCACGTCCGACGGATTCTCACAAAAAATGGTTGGTTTTCTTTGAGACATGTGACCTACGGCAGAGATCGTCCTCACAAGAAGTACCACAACTTCTTGTTAGCCCGACAGCTAGCCGACTGAGCTTCGTCCACACTGTTAAGTTTGGTGCAAATTTACCTAGTCATGTCTTAGACGTTACGGAACTGAACGAAAGGGGTCGAGTAGGTGACGAAAACTTGCGAAGGTTACGGGTAGGCATGGCGTCTCGTGACTTTAGCCTACACACTCGTCCCATTCCGTAATCATCAAGATACCGAGAGGTGAAGAATGAGCCGATGTGGCGCGAACTGAAAACAGCTCCAGGGCTAAGGATTCAAGGGCTCAGGATAGAGCTCGGGGTAACAGGGACGGGCGGCTATTACAGGGACGGGCAAGCCTGTACACTGCGTTGTGCTGGCTGTAGGTCATGGTGTGACGAGGCGAACGGCAACTGTACATGTAAAATTGGCTGGAAGGGACATTTCTGCAACAGTAAGCACAGTCTTTCTATATCAATGAACACACAACGCATAGTGGTACACCCAATGGCCCGAAGGCGGTGTTAATTTGTTACAGTGTTATATTATGTATGAGTGAGTGAGTTGTGTTTTACGCCACTTTTAGCTATATTCACGCATGGTGTCCATTTAGGGATGCAAACCCGGGCTTTCGACGTTACAAGCGAATGCAATAACTACAAGAATACCCCTCTGTCCCTTATATGTATAAGTATGGTGATGAAGCGACAAGGATGAAACAATGACTGATCAATATCTGGTGTGTTCGCCATGTTTGGCCATACATGCACGACACCTTGATGGCATACTGGTGGATTAATTTGCGTTTGGTTTCCCTTTGTAGTGCCCGCCATTCCGCTCGTAGAGCTATCCCAAGCTTGGCCAAGATAAATTGAGTATCAGAGCATTCTTATTTGTTATATTGCTTTGACATTTCAGCATTGATTCTTCACAAATACACAGTTCCTCTTTACGTTAGTATGTTAGTCAACACTGATAAGGTATGCAAAAAAGTACAAACATTTGGGCATATTCGTTCTATGTGGACCTAATTTTTAGAATTAAATAGTTATATTAGTTAAATAATGCCAAACGCTTTTTCACATAACAGTCATTTAAAATATAATGATAGGTTTTTGATGATAGAATATTCAACAAATATCACAAATATCACTTGTATTTAAACCATATGTTTTATGTTTTCATACTTAAGGTTAACTTTGTGGTGATAATTAGCTA